ACCACTCATACTCAGACTCGCTCCTGCTCAGACTCATCATCCCGCTCAAACGCAGACCGACTCACACTCAGACTGCCTCACATCCATACCCAATCGCACTCGGCTCACTCGCACTCAGATTCATTAGCACACACTTTTTCTCAAACTCAGACCCACTCAAGCCCAGACTCACTCATGTTCAGACTCATCATGCTACGATCCGCTCAATCACAGACTGGCTCACACTCAGATTCGTCCATACTCATACCCACTCGCACACAGACGCACCCGCGCTCATATTTACTCTCACGCAGACCCATTCAAACCCAGGCTCAATCGCACCCATATTAACTCACACTCAGAATCCGTCGCTTTCAGATTTGCTATTGGTCGCACTCATGCTTGCAGACTGTGGGGATGTCTCGAGCGAGCGGTTCGCCCTCGCACACAGGCGCTCATTGACAGATATCAATAGGAAGACGTACCAAGATAATGAGATGCACATATGGGGAGCCCCGCGTCGAGTAATTTTCTGTCCCGGTATCCTTCGCTTTCGGAGCAAATTTGGAGAATGTCTCCAGCGAGGCGTTCATTTTCACGCCCCTAAATGAATGGGTGGCCGCCGAAGGGTATTGCACGGTCCCGTTCGCGGCCGTTTTGTGAGGATGTCTCAAGCGGTTTGCTTGTTTTCTGTGCCAGCATCCTTCGCTGTCGGAGCAGATTTGGAGGATGTCTCGGGCGAGGCGTTCGTTTTCACCCCCCAGGTAGGCCAGAATTTGAGGATGCCTTGATCGGTTTGCTTGTTTTGGTGGCCAAATTCGTGGGCACAGATTCTCCCCAGGATGCCACCGGAGGCTCCAACAGGCCCCAGGAGGCCCCAGGAGACCACATGACGTCCCAGGAAGCATCAGGAGGCCACAGAAATATTCAAGAGGCCACAGGATGTCCCAAGGGGCTCCAGGAGGCCCCAGGTCCAGGAGGCGTCAGGAAACCACAGCAGGCCCCAGGAGGCGACAGGAAGCGCCAGGAGGCGTCGGAAGGCAACAGGAGGCCCCGAGAGGCCCCAGGAGCAGGAGGCGTCAGAAGGCAACCGGAGTGGCTCCAATCCCATGTGTTTCACGTATGCTCCTATAGATTGGGCCTCAGCTGGAGCACGAATCCTTGATGTTATATTTATGTTTCTATAGATTGGCCTTCCCCTGTGTACACAATCCTAAATGTTTTACTTATGTTCCTATCTATTGGGCCTCTTCTGGGGCACGAGTCCTTGGTGCTTTACGCGTGTTCCTATAGATTGCCCTTTTCCTGTGGCTCCAATCCGCAATGCTTTCTGTACGTCTGTTGCTATAGATTCGGCCTCTCCTGGGGCACGAATCCTCCCCAGGATGTCCCAGGAGGCCCCAGGAGGTCCCAAGAGGATCCTGGAGGCCCCGGGAAACCCCAGTAGGTTTCAGGAGGCCCCAGGAGGCCCCAGGCTCATGCGCAGAGACGCGCTCGTACTACTGAGGCTCATTCACGCTCCAATTCATTCGCAATTCGATTTATGACCGGACTGTCACAACTGAAATTTGTTTATACTCGAAGGCTTTTGCGCCTAAACATTCACGGCGGACATGTCCATGCGAATAAATGCACATATGGGGGGCTCCACGAAGTGAGCAATTTGGCACGGATCGTGCCCCCACCTTTCCAGCACGCGTGCAAGGGCTTTCGAATGAGTTCAACATGCGGCGCGAGAGGCTCGTCTGGCAGAAGTTGATGAACGTGTTGAGCAACAAATGTTTTTATTCAAGAACCCGCAAGACCGCGAGCGCAGGTTTTTTCTTGTTGCGAAACTATTTGTTGTATCGGGGCATTCGTTTTTGAATTCCTTCCGAAACCGAAGAGTGTTGCGAGATCTCGGTGTGCGCGCGCGACGGCGCGCGCGTGCGCACGTCGTTTTCTGTGCTTGGAAAAAGAGTTCTTGCAGCAACACGCGCGCGAAGGCGTGCAAGCGATTTCGACATGCGCGCTGCGCGCGCGAAAGGCCCGTTTGGTAGCATGTTATGTAGCTGTGGGAACACTCGTGGCTTCTTCAGGACTTCGCACGAGCGCGGGCGCAGGTTTTTTTCAAAGCCCCTGTTGCGAAACTATGCGTTGTTTGTATGCCTGCGTGACTTTCAATGTTGAATTTCTTACGGCGCCTTTCGTTTTTTCGCGGGATTTCGGCTTGCGCGCGCGACGACGACGCGCGCGTGTGCATTCGTTGCAAGGAAGTAGGGGAAAATGACGAGTTTCATAAACGAGTGCGCGCGCATCGTATTTTTTGAAAAAAAGGCCCGGGGGGGGAACCGTTACCTGTTTGGCTGGGGTGATATGATATGAATCCACATATAGGTCGATGGGGCAGAATCGCATGTCCAGTGCGAGACGAAAAGGTAAGCGGTTAAGTCCGAGACGCGGGTGGATCCTAATACTCTTCTAGAAAGGAGTACAGCTATTTGTATGCATTGTGTTTGTACTATATATATATATATGTATACACATATGTGTAAATATATATGTGCACATAGGTATATGGACGCCCCCACCAAGATCTACCTCATCGTTCTTCTGCAGGGGTAAACCTCATTATGCCTTTTCTTCTTCGCCTCGTCGTGCTGGAGGAGGAGGAGGGGGAAGGAGGAGGAGGAGGAGGAAGAGGAGAGAAGGAGGAGAAACAACACCATAATAAAATAACATACAGATGCAATGAGGAGAAGGATTTCATCAGAGGAGGAAAACGGAGGAAGGAGGAGGAGGAGGAGGAGGAGGAGGAGGAGGAGGAGGCTCCCGCCTGAGAGGTCCCCAAAAAACCCAGACAAGAGGAGGTTCCCACCTGAGAGGCCCCCCCCCAAAAACCAAACAAGATGAGGCTCCCGCCTGAAAGGTCCCCACAAAACGAAACAGAAGGAGGCTCTCGCCTGAGCGCCTGAGAGGTCCCAAGCAACTCCAAACATATGGAGGTTCCCGCCTGAGAGGTCCCACAACAGGCCAAAGAAACCCAAACACCATGCCTCTCATCCTTGTAACTGTCCTCCCCCCAAAAAAAACAAAGTTCCACAGGAGATGGCGGCCCTCGTCAATGCATCTGGGGCAGCGGCGTCGGATTTCTCTTGGAACTATTTTTAGTTTTTCTGGGACAATTGCAGGGACGAGAGGCATGGCGTTTGGGTTTCTTTGGGTTTTCTTGGGACCTCGCAGGCGGGAACCTCCATCTGTTTGGGTTTTTCTGTGACCTCTCAGGCGGGAACCTCCTTCTGTTTGGTTTTTTGGGGGACCTCTCAGGCGGGAGCCTCGTCTTGTTTGGGTTTGGGGGGGACCCCTCAGGCGGGAGCCTCCTCCTGTTTTTGGGGGGACCTCTCAGGTGGGAGCCTCCTCACAGTGAGTATTTTGGCAACCTCTCAGGCGGGAGCCGGCGTTGATGGTAATGGAGCTGCCATCCACGAGGGGGAATCCAAGAGGAGGGGGAGGAGGAGGAGGAGGAGGAGGAGGAGGAGGAGGCGAGGGGAGGAGGAGGAGGAGGAGGAGGAGAGGAGGAGGAGGAGGAGGAGGAGGAGGAGGAGGAGGAGGAGGAGGAGGAGGAGGAGGAGGAGGAGGAGGAGGAGAGGAGGAGGAGGAGGAGGGGGAGGAGGAGGGGGAGGGGGAGGGGGAGGGGAGGGGGGGAGGGAGGGGGAGGGGGAGGGGGAGGGGAGAGGGGGAGGAGGAGGAGGAGGAGGAAGAAGGAGGAGGGACGAGGAGGACGAGGGGAGGAGGGGGGGAGGAGGGAGGAGGAGGGAGGAGGAGGAGGAGGAGGAGGGAGGAGGGAAAAGGATGATGCGAGGAGGATGCGGATGCGGATATGCGATGCGGATGCGGATGCGATGCGGAGGAGGAGAGGAGGAGGAGGAGGAGAGGAGGAGGAGGAGGAGGAGGAGGAGGAGGAGGAGGAGGAGGAGGAGGAGGAGGGGGAGGGAGGAGGGAGGAGGAGGGGAGGACGAGGAGGAGGAGGAGGAGGAGGAGGAGGAGGAGGAGGAGGAGGAGGAGGAGGATGAGGAGGGAGGAGGAGGAAGGAGGAGGCAGGAGGCAGGAGGGAGGAAGAGGAGGAGGAGGAGGAGGAGAGGAGAGGAGGAGGAGGAGGAGGAGGAGGAGGAGGAGGAGGCAAATGAGGAGGAACAGGGGGGGAGGAGCAGGAGGAGGAGGAGGAGGAGGAGGAGGAGAGGAGGAGGAGGAGGAGACGAGGAGGATGAGGGAGGATCATGAGGAGTCCGCGACGGGATACTCAGCGGGAGGGGAAAGGGAGAAGAGGAGGAGGAGGTGGAGGAGGAGGAGGAGGAGGAGGAGGAAGATCAGGAGGAGGCCGCGGCGGGATGTCAACGAGGGAAGGAGGAGGAGGAGGAGGAGGAGGAGGAGGAGGAGGAGGAGGGGGAGGAGGAGGAGGAGGAGGAGGAGGACGAGGAGGAAGAGGAGGAGGAGGAAGAGGAGGAGGAGGAGGAGGAGGAGGGGGAGGGGGAGGAGGAGGAGCAGGAAGAGGATCCCCCCACTAGCGCCCACAGGTAGGCCATTTTCGAACGGGCTCATGCCAACTGCGGAGGAGGGAAGGCAACCTCATAATGATAACTCGAGGTGCACTGCTCTTTAAATGTGTGTAACACTCAGGGTGTAGTGAAAGGCGCAATGCCTATGTAGAATGAGGATGATAGGGGAGGAGCCACAGCAGAGCGTCATGCTCTCGCATTTAGCTGTAGGGGAGAAGAGCGCAAAGCTCTAGGAGGAAGAGTGTAATATTCTAAATCGCTGGGCGTAAATCTCTTTACATGGGCGTAATGCCCAGGGGTGTGATTAAGGCGCAACGCCTGTTTTCTTCAGCGCAATGCTGATTCTCTTTGGGCGCGGAGCGCTGGCAGCGCCCTTTCTGCAATAATGGCGTCCTGGGGCCTCTAACTCTCGTTGAAGGGCGGGGGGGGGGGTGCAGATGCCACGCGAAAGAATGTCAGAAGCTGGCCCTACCGCGCAGCGGGCGCATGATCTTCAAGGTCGGCGATGGGCCGAGACAGACTCCTTTCCAAAACCAGGCGGCGGCGCTGCGCTGCGCCATCCTCGGCGCCCCCTAGTCCACGGCCCATTGCCTGACGGGCTTGAACCACAAGACGATCGGGGACATCTACCGCGCGAACGACATGGCCCGCAGTCTCTACGCGCATGACATGAAGAGGCCCATCAAGTTCGACAGCGCCCCTGGCAACAAGTCGTGGTGCGACGTCGAGGCCGGCGAGGTTGACCACGGTAAGAACGTCGTCGACGACGGATGCCCGTCGCCCCACGACGCCGCTTCGACTTGGGAGCATTGGGGTGGCGTCCAGCAGCGGGGGGCCCCGCGCGCGCTCACCCCGACGCGTCTGGGCCCTAAGCAGACTGTGTCTCGGGCGCCAGGGCCAGGCCCCATCAGGGAGGGGGAGTGGAAGAAGTATGCGCAGAAGCACCTCCAGAACCGCAGAGTCATCCTCCACACTGACGGCGCCCGCGCCCACAAGCTCAAGGTTCCTGGGGTGATTCATGGCCGCGCGGTTCATGCGAAGAAGAAGCTGAAGGACAGGGGCGAGAAGCCAGTCAGCGCAACGGTCAGTTCGCGTGGATCCCCCCGATGCACGCCAAGGAGTTCAAGCGCAGCATTCCAGGAACGAAGAGGACGTTGAAGTGCATGGGGGGCACGCAGGCGGTCGACCGCTCCTGGCGGCTCTTGCCCAGCTACCCCAAGTGCAGGTCTGGGGCAGTCGGCAGCGCGTCCTTGCGCCGCCGCGCGCGGTCTGCTCAATGGGCCCACTGGCATCGGGCAGACGATGCCCGGTCCAAGACGGGGGAGATGCTGAAGCGCCTGAACAAATGAGCGCCCCCTTCGGGAGTGCATCGGTTCCGCCCGCGGGCGGGCGGCGATCCAGACTGCTGGCGCCATCGCGGGGCGCTGGCGTCTGCGCTATTAACTGGGGGGGGGGGGGGGGGGGGGCGCTGTCGCGAGCCATTTGCCTGCGCCGACGCAGGCTTCGGCGATGCCAGATCTGCGCCAAGGGGGAGTGCGATCGGTTTCGGGGGCTTCGAAAACAGTAGCGCGATCGCCTTCCGTCGCCGCCCTTCGCGACGCCAGCTGCGGCGTCGCAGCGATCGGCGAGGGTTGCGCTCCTGAGGGGGGCTGTCCGCGTCAGGCGAGTCACTCCAACATGTTGCAGTATTGAGGTAGATCTTGGTAGGGGGCGAGCATATGTATGTATATATTTATATGTGCATATACACATATATATATACATATATATATATATATATATATATGTGTGTATATATATATAACTGTACACACAAATGTAACCATTGCTTGCACGTGAATGCTGTTAGGGGGGAGGGGTGTCTTCCGTGCCCGGTGCCCTTTTTATCCTGCGTGCCGAATGCAAAACTGCACCAGTGCATCTGCTGCTTTTTTGTTTTCAAGTCCACAATCCTGGCTTCAGCGTCGGCCTGCAAGGCCGACCCGTGGACCGCGGAGGGCGCGGCGGCGGCTGGGTCGTGGCTCGCGGGGCTTGCGCGCCCGTGCCGCTGCCGCTGCAGCTGGGCTGACAGCCCTGGCGCCCTCGAGCTGCTGGAGAAGCAGCTCGACCGCTGCGGGCCCGAGAACCTCTAGCGCCCGTGCCCGCCGCCTCCGGCGCCGGTGCTTTGCCCGCCATGCTCGCCGGCGTCGCCGGCGCTCTGGGGCTTCCTTGCGGGGGGCCTGCTGACCCGGCTAGCAGCCTGCGGCCTGGCGGCCCGGCAGGCGCGGCCCCCGGCGCGCGCGGCGCCGGCCAGGGCGCCTTCTGGGCTGCCCGTCGTGGCCCCGCCGCCGTTGCCTGCGCTCGCGGCGGCTGCCGAGGCGCCCAGTGCGGGAAGGGCTGACGCAGGTGCCCGGCGGCGCGCGGTGCCGCGCGGCGGCGGGGTCGTCGCCGCCGCCTGATGGCGGCGCTTGAGCCGGGGCCCTACGCGTGCGCGAGGAGCGACGAGGTCGGCCCCCCGGGCGAGCTATGGCACGAAAGGCTGATCTTGGCCTGGGTCTCCGCCAGCCTCTACGTGGTGCTGACGCCGGACTGCGACGTGTTCATCGAGCAGCTGGACATCGCGAGCGCGGACCGCAGCGGGATGCGTTTCGGCCCAGCGGGCGGGGGGCTCCCCGCGGGCCTGGCGGGCGGCCGGGTGCACCGCTTCGCTGTGGCGCCCGCGCTGGCCGAGCTCGCGGCGTTGCTGGCCGAGGGGCTTCGACGGCGATCGTGGAGCGGCAAGCGCGCGGGCTGGCCCAGCCCGCGGGCGCGGCCGCCGCTGGCGGCGTGGGAGGCATCGCCCCTGCCGCAGTGCCGCTGCCGCTGCCCGCGCCCCCGGCGCCGGCCGCCCTCGGCGCGGTGGCCCGCCGCCGCCGCCCCCGCGCCGCGCTGGCGCTGGTGGCGCGCGCGTGCTGGACGTGCCCGGCCAGAGCCGCGCGTTCGGGCAGGAGGTGGCGCTGCCATCCGCGGCGCTCGATTTCGGCGGCCGCTCCGCGGCGGCCGTCGCGGGCGAGCTCCGCGCGGTGACGCGGCTCGAGGCGAACGCGGACATCGACGCCTGGGCCCGCGAACGACAGGCCCTCCCCCAGCGAGGCGAGCCGCGGTTGCTGGCCCGGGCGCGCGGCGCGGAGGCCGCGCCCTTTCTGGCCGACGCCAGCCTGCTGGTCCGCGACCCGAGCGCGCCGATCCGCCCGCGGGGCCCCCCACGATGGGCGACGCTGTCGCAGGGCTGCAGTCGCGGGCGCCAGGTGGGTTCCCGGCATCCCACGAGCGCTGGCCCGTCGAGTCGCGCGTGGGCGCGGGGCCCCGATCGGCGCGCGAGCACGGGGCGATTTCGAAGGCCCTCGAGCTCGCGGCGTCGACCGACGGCCTCGACCTCGCCAACCTCATTTCGATGGGGCACCTGAACCGACGCCGGCAGCTGCTGGAGGAGGCCCACGCGAAGGACCCCGAAAAGGCGGACTTCGAGGGCGCGCGCCACTTCATGGGGGAGGGCGAGATGTCGCCGGGCGCGCTGGCGGCCCCGTCGCTGCGGGCACACTCGGCGGCGGAATTCTGGGGGGGGCCGCCGTCGACAAGGGGCGCCGCAAGGCGAAGTTGGCGAAGAAGCAAGGGGGCCGAGGAGAGGGACTGACCGCTCGCGCGAGCCGAGGCGGCGGGGCTCGATCCCCCCGTCGCAGCCGCCTCGCCAACTTCAAGTCGCCAAGCGCCGCCCCGCGGCGCAGGTCGCCCTCCCTCTGTCGCTGCCGGTTGGCCTGATGCCCCTCGTCATGGAGGGGGTGATGCTGGTCAGCGCCGCTCAGGAGGCAGGGGCGAGCTCTTTCCCTTGCCAACCATTGGGGCAGATGCCCCATTGAAAAGCGGCGACGGCCAGGCCAGGACTGGACAGCGCCGCAGATGCCTCCGCCAGGCTGCCGCGGCAGATGCGAATCACTGCATCCGGGCTCTGAGCGCGCCCTACGGCTGCGAGCGCGAGCGCGAGGGCGTGGTGACTCCGGCGCAGGGTGCAACGCAGCGGAGAGTGCTCCGTGCGTCGCGGCAGGCTTGGCATGATTTTGCTGATCGGCTCGCTGAGCCGCCCCGTGAAGCCGCTCGTCACAACCGCCGACTACGCTGGTGCGGACTTTCCTGTTCGACCTTGCCAGCCTGATCTACTCTCTCCGCCTCCCGCAGGGCGGTCGTCGGTTCTGATGGCCACGTTTCGGGCCACGATGCTGCAATGCTTTTGGTCGACTACGAGACGACCCTAATGGCTGACGGCGACGCCTTCTTGCAATGCCGCGAAGATGGTCCTGGTCGCCCTTATTTTGATTCGGTGCTACGTTCCGACCAGGTTGCCTGCGTCGACTTTTTGAGGCGCTTGGCGGACGTCAGCATCATTGCGCCGCTGCCTTCGGTTGCGGACGCGATCACGCCCTTCTTCGTGGGGAAGAAGGGCGGTGCGCTGCGACTGGTGCTGGACTGCAGACTGGCAAACATGCGCTTCCGACACGCCCCCTGCATTGAGATCGCCGCCGTCGAGTCCCTCTCGATGCTGGAAGTGCCCGCGCTTGGCGGGCGGGCGCTTTGCGTCGCCAGCGCGGACGTGGAGTGCTGCTTCTACCAGTGCGGAGGGCTGGGCGACCTCAGCAGGCATTTCGACCTGCCCAAGATCACGTGCGCCGAGGCCGTTAGCTTGGGATGGGCGCACTTCTCGGACGGCTTGCCGATCGCGGGGGCCTCGCTGGTCTTCCCAGCGCTGACTGTGCTGCCGATGGGGTGGAGCTGGGCCTTCTGGTTCGCGCAGCGGGTGCACCTCGAGATGGCGAGGAGGGCGGGCGGGCCGCTGGCGCGGGTCGGTCTGGGCAACTGGCCGCTGCCCCTGCTCGAGGGAGGCGCGGTCGAGCTGCCGCACTCGGATAACATCAACGTCTTCGGGCTGGACGGCGACGAGGTCGGCAAGGCGCGCGACGCCGTCGTGGAGCAGTTCGAGGCCGCCGGCTTCAAGTAGCACGAGATCGCCGACGTCAGCACAGCGGCGACCGTGCTGGGCACCGACATCGGCGGGCGCCCTGCCCGGGCGCAGCGCGCCGGAGCCAAACTGGCCACGCTGCGACGCACCCTGATGTGGCTCGCGGAGGGCCCTGTGGTGAGTGGGCGCCAGGTCGAGGTCGTCGTTGGGCACATCGTGGTGGCCTGCATGCTGTGCCGCCCGTCTCTCTCTTGCCTGAGGGCCGTCTACGACTAGATCAAGGATAGGTGCGACCAGCCGTGCCGCCTCTGGCCCTCATGCCGCTACGAGTGCTGGGTCATGGGCGGCGTCTCGATCTTGATGGGCACCGACCTCTCGCGGCCATGGGCGGACCTCGTCGCGCCTACGGACGCCTCGACCACTGGCATCGGCGCTGTCGAGGCGGCCGCCCGAGTGCCCGACGTCGCGGCTGCCGGGCGCTGGCGTGAGCGCTGGCGCTTCCTTAGGCTCCACCCGGCCGGGTGGGCGCCACGTCGGCGCGCGCTGGACGGACTGGGCGAGATCACCTTTCCTCGTGCTGCGTGCGTCGGATGCAGGATGGAGAGTGCACGCAGGGTTTCCCGTGGTCGGAGCAGAGATCTTGGACTTATATTTCCACACCATGTGCGCTGGCCCGCTTCGCTTCAAGGAGTCGATTGGGGTGAAGGAGGGTAGGGCTTACCTGGGCCCTGCGGAGAGACGCCAAGAACGCTTCGAAACACAACACCCTCCGGCTGTATCTCATCGACAACTTCGGCGTGTGTTGCTCGATCGAACGTGGTCGCGCCGCCTTCCGTGGGCTCCTTCAGGTTTGTCGTCGGTCTGCTGCGCTGCAACTTGGCTCAAACACTGGGGCGGGGCCTCGCTGGGCCTTCCGAGGTCGACGCGGGAGACAAGCTGTCGCGTTTGTTCGAGCACCTCCAGCATCTGCGGCCCGGCGCCCTTTTCGCTTCGCATGCCCGCTACAAAAGGGCACCGGGCAATGTTGGGGCCTCTGAGCGTGGCTGGCGGCAGCGCCTCGCGGACGGGGTTGACGACGGCGCTGCCGGCGCCGGCTGCGCCGGCCGCCCACCGCAGGCCCGCTGCGGCAGTGGGCCCGAGGCCTGCCGCGCGGGCCGGCGCGCGCGCGCCGTCGGCGCGGCGCCGGCCGGCCTCTTGCGAGGCTCCTTGCGCCACGCGGCCGCGACTGCGCGAGGTGCTGGACGCGCGCCTGCCTCCCTCGTCCTCCGCTCGGCGCGCGAGGAGGCGGCCGTGGGCATCGACGCGAGGGCCAAGTGCGAGGAGTACTTCGCCGCCTCCTCCGAGTTCTGCCAGCCGCACCTGGTGCCCGACACTATCGACGCGCTGCAGGCGAAGCTGCTGGAGATGCTCGACCACCCGATGCAGAACGACTGCCCGACGAACGACGGGGGCTACATGGTGGCGGCCGTGAAGGACGCGCTGCCGTTTGCCGCGGGGATCGGGTCGCTCTTCCTCGGGCCTCGAGAGCGCCGAAGGGCTTCGGCAAGCAGGCCCCGCCCCGCTCGAGGGCGCCGCTGAGGAGGTCGGCGGCCATCGCTTCGGGCATGGTGGCCAAGAACATGCGGGGCGCCACGCTGCAGGCGGCGATGCAGCACTTCACGTGCATCAGTCCTGGCGCGATGCGGCAGCTCAAGGTGAAACAACTCATCCCGCCTCTGCGCGAGGCGGGGCCGCTGGGGCGCCGGGCGCTGCTGCTGGCTCCGGCGCACGAGGGCCCCGCGCGCCCCCTGTCGGGGCGGGCGAGCCCGCGGGCCCTGACCAAGACGGGGACGTCCGACCAGTCGATCGACCTTGACTTCCCGCCCTGGCTCGGGCCGCTGGTGGGGGCGCGCGCGAGGGGTCGGCGGCCCAGCGAGCCGCTCTTCTCGACGCCGGCGGCCCAGGTAGTCGCCGCGTCCCGTCGCCTGGGCGAGGGGCTCGGGCTGCGCGGGCTCATGCCTCATCGGCTCCGGCACGGGGGCGCCAGCGACGACGCGCCGTCGAAGCGCCAGACGCTGGCCGAGGTGAAGGCGCGCGGGCGCCGGGCGCAGGGCCAGTCGGTCCGCCGCTGCGTCAAGCCGGGCATGGTGCACCAGCTCCCGGGCGCGCTGACGCCGGCAGCGCGCGCGCATTGCGACCTGCAGTAGCGCAGCTTCGATGGGGTCACGCTGGGAATGAGCGCGCCGTCGCTCCCGCCGCAGCGACGAAGGCGCTGGCTGTCCGGTGCCCTTTTCACTCCGCGTGCCGCATGCTGCCGCGTGCAAAAGGGCGCCGGGGCAGCGGGGGCCGCCGATCTGGGTGCCTGGGGCGAGCGTGGCGGCCAGCTGCGCTTGCCGCGCCGGGCTTCCTCGTCCCTGCTTGTCGTCGACCTGATGGCAGGCGCGAGGGGCATTGCTCGGGCCGCCGCGCGCGCTGGCCTGGTCGCGCGCAGCTGGGAGCTCAGCGCCTCGCCGCTCGAGAACGCCATGCGCCCTGCCGTGCAGGCGCAGGTGTGCGAGCTGGCGAAGCTCCGGCGGCTGGCCCTGGTCTTCATCGCGCCGGTGCGCACTAGCAGGTCCAGAGCGAGGCGCGGGCCTCGAGTCAGAGCGCGCCCAGGCTGGCCTGGCCCAATTCGAGACGCAATCAATATCCTTGGCCCGCCTGATCTGAGCGAAAAAGATGCACGAAAAGTTGCCCTCGGTAATCAGCAGGCGACTTGGGCAGCCCTTCTGTTTGAAGCAGTTGCCAAAACAGGGGCGCCCATCGTGCTCGAGAATCCCGCGTCGTCCATGCTTTTGTCGCATCCTCGGTTTGAGCGTTTGTTGAGGCTGTTCTCTTACATCGCGTTCGATCACTGCGCATATGGGCCCAGGCTTCGCAAGCGAACAGGGCTGCTCTATGCGAATTCCGATTTGTATGATGTAGCGACTCAGCATTGTCGGGGCGGAGGCGCGCGCTCTTTCTCAGGTCTCCCGCACGAAGGTGTCGAGGGCCGCGATGAGAATCATGATCTGCGTTTTCTGCTCGCTGCTGAATGCCCCGCTCGCTTCTGCGATGATATAATTCGCCTCTCGAGAGCCAAATTAAGACGCCCTCCCTGACATCCCGACTGCAGGTGTCTGGGCATTGTCTTGAATAGTCTCCGAGTTGCTGCGCTGGCTCCGCGCGGAGCCAAGACAAAGATGCCGTCTGCTGGAAAAATGGAATCCACTCGTCTAGGAGTAACCAGTGTTTGCACGTGCATGCTGTTAGGGGGATGGTTGTCTTCCGTGCCCGGTGCACTTTTTAATCTGCGTGCCGACTGCAAAAGGGCACCGGTGCATCTGCTGCCTTTTTGGCTTCAAGTCCCCCGCCCTCCTCTCCCTCTTCTTTTTGAAGTCCTAGTATTTTTGGCCATGGGGCTTGAATTGTCTCCGAATTGCAGCGCTGGCTCCGCGCGGGGCCAAGACAACGATGCCGTCTGCTGGGACAAATGGATGCCACCCGTCTAGGCATATACATATGTATATATATATACATATGTATATGCTGAGCAATCTACGTTGCGCAACTGATGCAGTGCAACCTACGTGCTTCAGTGCGTGTCGTGCAACCTGCGCGGTGCGACCTATGCGGTGCATTCTATGTGGTGCAGATGATTTTTAACAAACGGGCTGGCACGTCCCATGCTCTTGCATGCGCCCCCCCTAGCCACCCGCAACTTGGTTTGCAAAACCCACGCGGTGGCGATGGCGATGAGCGCTGTGCTTTAGCTGGTCCATCTCTGCGGCCTCGCCAACCCAGGCACGCGCGCGCAGCGGCCGGCTGGTTAGGCGCGACGGGCGCGGCCGCGGTGGCGCTGACCGCTGGGCGCTTCCCAGCGGACACTTCCGCGCGAGTCGATGACTCGGGCGAGCGCGGTATCATGGCGACGCCGACGACGGTGGGCGCGATGAGGGCAGTAGCGATGATGGTGGCGATGGTGGCGGTGGCGACAGCAAGGCCAATGGTGGCGCCGATGCCGATCGCGCCCGCCGATAGCGAGGACTATGCCATCGCGTCGGCGATGACATTTTTCGAAGGAGTTCGACATGCCCGCGCGGCCGACGCGCGCGAGTGGCCCGCGCGGTGTTTTCTGGCACGGATCGCGCCCCCACCTTTCCGGATCGCGCGCAAGGGCGCCCGGGTGAGTTCGACGCGCGGCGCGAGAGGCCCGTCTGGCATAAGTTGATGAACGTGTTCAACACGCGCGCGCAGCGGCCAGCTAGTTTGGCGCGGCGGGCGCGGCCGCGGTGGCGCTGACCGCTGGGCGCATCTCAGCTGGCACTTCGCTGCGAGCCGGCGATTTGGGCGGGCGCGGTATCCGACGGTAGACGCGATCGTGGTAGTGGCGATGCTGTTGGCGATGCTGACAACGACGACGGCGCGGTCAGTGCTGGCGCCCTCGCGTCGGCGATGGAGGTTTTGGAAAGAGTTCGACGTGCGGCGCGCGCGGCCGACGCGCGAGAGTGGCTCGCGTGGTATTATTTGACATGGATCGCCCCCCCACTCCCCCAGCAAGCGCGCAAGGCCGCGCAAATGATGTCGGCATGCGGCGCCAGAGGCCCGCTTGGCGTAATCCAGTGAACATTTTGATAGACCCATGGTTTCCCGGAAAATTCGCAAGAGCGCGAGCGCTTTCAGACGCTCGGTTGTGGAATCGTAGCGCAACGTTCAGTTTTTGACCGGTTTCGGCGCGCGCGCGCGACGACGCGCGCGCGCGTGCATGTCGCCCCATTTTATGCTGAGGATTCTCGCGACGGCGCGCGCGCGCGAGAGCATTCGACCGATTTCGACGTGCGCGCGCGAAGCCCGTTTGCGAGCATTTTCTGAAAATGGCGGAAAGCCGATGGTTCTCTCAAGACTTCGCAATCACTTTCAGAAACAAGCGCGCTGCAAAACCATGTATTAATCTGTATGTTTGTTTTGCACTCGAAGCTGAAATCCTTGCGAAACCGAAGGCATTTTGTTTTTTACTTCGGCATGTGCGCGCGACGGCGCGCGCGTGTGCACTGCACTTCGTTCCTTGCTTTTCGCGCATAGTTTTTTGCAAAGGATGGCGGGGGGGGGGGCGGATGCTGGTTCGGCTGGGCTGGCGCGAACTCATGTTTAAGACGCGCGACTGGCCAGAATCATTTGCAAATTGCAACGCGAAAAGGGGAGCGGATAGTCCCGGGTGGGGTAGGGTGTCTTCTGTTTTTAGAATGGCAAAACATTGGTTGTGCAACTTATATTGTGCAACCTAGTCGGTGCATTTGTTTCTTGCAAGCGAGTTCGCAAATCTTACGCCCTTGCAAACATCCACTCATCCATCCGCATCGTGCTATGCAAAAAAACAATGCGGCGGCGATTGCGATGAATGCTTGGCGTCGGCTGGTGCACCTGCGGCCGCGCCAGCCCGCGCGTGCTCGCGCGCGCGACGGCCAGCTAGTTTGGCCGGACCGACGCGGCCGCGGTGGCGCTGATTGCTCGGCGCGCCCCACTACCGATCTTACTGCCGATCGTGCTCTCGATATCACTATCGATCCCACTATCGATCGAATTGTTTATCATGTCGTTCATACATCATCGGTTTCACCATCGATCACAAGATTGCTCTCGCCATCGGTCTCACTATCGATGTCATCATTGATGTCAGTATCGATCTGGCTATCGATATCACAATCGATCTCATACTTAATCTCACATTCGGCCTCACGATCGATCTCATTCAATCGATGCCACTATCGAACGTACGATCGATCTTTTCATCGATTTCACGATCGATTTTCTTCAATCGATATCAGTGTTCATGTCGCTATCGATATCATATCGATCCTGGTGCCGGTGCCACCGTCGATCTCACTCAATCGACATCACTAACAAACTCACTATCAATATCATCGAGTTCACTTTTGATCGCATTCAACGGATCTCAGGCTCGATCGCGCTTTCGATCTCACTCATGACAATGCATAGCATATAGCATAGAACAAGATACCCGCGCGCCACGGGACACCAGCGGGACACTTTCGGGACACCAGCGGGACACCGCCGGGACACCACAGGGCCACTGTTGGCCAACACGGGGGGCAGCAACGTTTGGTTCGGCTTCGCCCTGGCAGCGGCGAGTTCATTCCTCTCGCCCGCCCACGCAGCTTCGGCTCGCCCGCGCACGCGACACGAACGTGCATCCGAAACGAATATTCCAGTGAGGGGGTTTCCGTTTCACTGCGATGTCACCCCCCAACCTCCGAGATGTATGGAGAGAGGGTGAGAGAGAACGTGAGAGAGAGAGAGAGAGAGAGAAAGAGAGAGAGAGAGAAACAACATCAAAAGGAATATATAAATGATATATATATACATATATATATATATGTATCTGTATATATATACATATATATAACCAGGCAGCTATTGTAAATCAAGAGTGAGGGAGGCGGAGTAGAGAAAGAGAGAGAGAGAGAGACAGAGATGAACTGCGTATAGGTACGTGTATATATATACACATTTGTGTCTATATTTGTGTGTATGCACCATCGATTTCATTACCCACTTCTTTGTCGATCTCACAATCGACTTCACAATCGATTTCACTATCGACTTCCCAATCGATTTCACGATCGAAATCACGAGCGATCTCACGATCGAGTTCACTATCGATCTCATTGAATCGATTTCACTATCGGTCTCACGATCAACCTTACAATGGTCCTCATTATCAGTTCCACTATCGATCATACAATTGATCTCAATATCCATATCACATTCTCAAACCATCCACTGAGTGGGGCTTTTCTCTGGTGTAATGTTTAAAACGAATGTGCGCCGCGCTCAGGCGACAATCATCTTTTCAAAACGGGATCTTCTCAATCCGTGGAACTCTTGCGAATCTTGAAAACGAATGTGCGCCGTTCTGAAGCGAGAACCACATTTTGAAAATCACCCGCCCGCCATCTGTGAAACTGTTGCCAGCTTTTAAGCTTCAGAGTTGTATATGGTGAGGAAGTCTCAAGCGAAACGCCTGGCCAGCCCTAAAATTAGCCTCGGGGTGCGACAGGGAGAAGTTACTTATGAGGAACCGGAATGGAAGAGGAGGAGGGGGAGGGGGAGGAGGACTAACTAGGAGGAGGAGGAGGAGGAGGCGGAGGAGGAGGAGGAGGAGGAGGAGGAGGAGGAGCAGGAGAAGAAGGCGGAGGAGGAGGAGGAAGAGGAGGAAGAGGAGGAGGAGGATGAGGAGGAGGGAGAGGGGTGGATATGGGCAAGAAGGCTCCGCCGCCTGAGCGAACAGCGGCTGAACTCGACAAACCCTGGAGCGGAGCAGAAGCTGCTGCCAGCGGTGCCTGTTGCGCCGCGCTCCTCCTGGCTTTGGGAGGAGGGGCGCGTAGCCTATTTTTGTTGGCGCTCGCAGGGCGACGGCTGTCAGTTCCACGGAGGGCTACGGCAGGACTACGGATTCGGCTTTCGAAGCCCGAGCGGTCTTGGGCAATTTCTTCACCTTGCTGGTCCTCGGGGGGGCTCTCTTCGTCGCCACGGCTGCATCCGCCTCGAGATGGCCCAGAACTGCTCAAGTGGTCCCGGACGCGGATCTCCTCGCAGTAGTCATTCGCATGCGCAGTGGCCGTTGTACAATTCTGCGACAGGTTCGTGTCGCGCCGATGCGGCGGCGACCCCGGCGCCGGCGTTTCAGGCTGCACGCCACTGGTGGCGCAGGGTCGGCCGACCCAGAAAGATTTGCGCTACGGAGGGCCGTGATCGTTCAAGGTGGAACGAGCTGCGCGGTGCCAGGAACCACCGCGCAAGTCGCCACGGCAAGAGCCCGCCGCTCTCGGGCGAACAGATCTGAGCACATCCGCTGCCCCTGGCTCGGCCTATCCCAGTCCCAGGAGCAGCGCATATACTTCTATTCGCGTGTGTATGTATGTATGTATGTATGTATGTATGTATGTATGTATGTATGTATGCATGCATGCATGTATGTATGTATGTATGTACGTATGAATGTGTATGTATGTATGTATGTATGTATGTATGTATGTATGTATGTATGTATGTATGTATGTATGAATGTATGCATGCATGCATGCATGCATGCATGCATGTATGTATGTATGTATGCATGTATGTATGTATGTATGTGTGTATGTATGTATGTGTGTGTATGTATGTAGGCATGTATGTATGTAAACATGTATGCCTGTCTGTCTGTATGTCTGTCTGTCTGTCTGTCGGTCTGTCTGTCTGTCTGTCTTTCTGTCTGTCTGTCCGTCTGTCTGTATGTGTGTGTGTGTATGTATGTATGTATGTATGTATGTATGTATGTATGTATGTATGTATGTATGCATGTACGTATGTATGTATGTGCGTGTGTGTATCTGTGTATGTATCCTTCCGAGGCGGGAATTTATCCATATCCACCGCCTGGAGGGTCAGTTTTCGGAGCCTCAGCAGGCGGGGGATATGGACATTATCGGGCCCCGCGGGCGAAATATATCCATATCCATACCGCCCGCTGGGGCACCAGGGCGTGGGTTCCCCGGCGGTGGATATGGATAAGTCCCCGCCTCGCAGTCCTTGCCGAGCCAGGAAGAGCCTGGTCCAGGATGGGCCTGACCAGGGGCAGCTCATGTGTGTGTACGTACGCACGCACGTATGAATGTACCAGCTTGTGAATATTTCACGGTCTATGTTTTGCGTATGCCCATGTTTATGTGCTTCTGCACACCGAAACACTGACATGTACATATTTGTACGTCTATGAACGAGTGTGCATCGCTGTCCGTCTTTGTTTACGAGCATAGGCACGCGATCATGCGTCTATGCATGCATGCAACTATTCTTTGATGTAT